ACTGCTTCTGGAATGATCCTCTTTCTGCCATCAGGGCGTCTATATTCCCTTTGTTTCACAGGGTTAGAAATCCTGGATGAAGTTGCCGCTTTATTTAACCCATCGTTTGCAGCACCCGCACTCTCCTTCCCATCGCCATTCTGAGAATCAGAGGCTTTGTTTGTAACCACCAACTCAACAGGGGGCTTTATGGGTATCTGATTTTGCTGAACATATGGAGCCACTTTTTTGGTCAGAGTTTGCTTGGCTGAAGCTGCTTCAAGCAGTAACTGTGCTGGGCTCTCCGCTAAGTTTGCTTGTCGGCCTCTCACATCACCATAACGATTTCTCTTTAGCTCATCAAGTTCAGCATCACTCAGCCTGTACCCAAGTTCTTTATCCTCAAAATGGAATGTAGCCACTGTCCCATCCAAGGAACAGGCAAACAATGAATAGCCATCAGGACTCCTGCTCTCAGGGAAGAGGAACATAAACAATTAAAACAAAAAAAAGAAAAGATGGTGTAGAAGAGAATGCTAAATAATAGTCACAGAGAAAATGGAATATACAAACAAACAAGAAATAGTTACATCCTTCCCTGACATTAAAGAAAAATGGGTTTACCAGGATAAATCAACAACGCTTTGACTAAAGAAATGTCTGGCAACAAAGAGAGGACGTGGACATGCAGTTGTCCATACAGTTATGGTACGGTCCTGACTTCCGATAGCAATAACATTGTACGGCTGTGATTCTCTCCCTTCAGGTTGAGTGGCCCCATTAGCCCAACCATTAGCTTCTTGTGCATTCCCAGTATTAGCTCTGAACATTGAGTGATTAAATTTTGCAACAATAATCGGGGCATGGTGGCCTAGGAAGTCAAAAGTGGCAGCCCATTCTCCTCTCTCTAGAACAGGTGCAGAATGCTTTGGCTTTTGGAAACCATGAGTGGTAGATATAAAATGGCCACAAGGAGACCATCCAAGCCGCCTAAAGAATGTAGATCCAAGCTGAAAAGACACATTTTCATCAGAAAACAAGAATGGAAATGAGAACAAAAAAATTTATGACAGAGAACCACCTACCGATTTTGCCCAGTGGCCTTCTGTCCTGTGAGCAAGACTCCAGTCACTTGTTCGCCATATAATGACAGTCTTATCATCAGATTGGCTTGCTATGAAGGACCCAATTGGATCCCAGGCAACTCCTTTAACAAGACTTGAATGGCCCCTAAGTACAGCAGTGCAGAAACCATTGCTCATATTCCATATATGGATGGTATTATCCAAACTCCCACTGGCCAGTATTGAGTCATCTGGAGACCAATTAAGATCCACCTACTTTAAGTGTAGAATGAAGAAACTTCCCAATTAGACATATCCTTGTTGAAATAAATTATCAAGGACTGAAAATGAAATTTCATTCAAATGTTCTGCCTACTTATGTTTCTCCATTATTTTATCTACTTTTTTTTCTCCATTATTTTATCTACTTTTGTTTCCTAGGAAGGCACAGATTGATACTTAACTGATACAGACGGTAAACACAAAATTTGAATAAAGAAAAGACAGCAACAATGTTTGTGCAACTTTCAAGGTAAAATGGAATGGTTTCTAAGAAAAAAAAAAGGAAAGAAAGAGAAAAGAACATGCATTCAATGAAACAATTTCAACTTGGTTACTATAGAAAAAATCTTATGATTCCCATTAAGCAACATGAAGAATAATATCATTACCACATCAGCAGTGTGTCCTCGCAAAGTCATTGCAACTTTCCAATTCTCAATGTCTGGGGGCTCTCCGCTACCAAACTCAGTGGTTCCAGATCCAGGCTTTCTCTCGTGAATCAAAATTACCTGATCATCAGACCCTGATGCAAGATATCGAGCATGCTTAGCCCACCTAACACAGTTGACAGATCCAAAGTGATCACGCAAGGTTGCAAGAAGTCTCTGTGAGGATTCATCATTTCCCAAATCTCTGCTAACAGATATTTTGTTCCATATCCGAACCTACATTTGATAAGAGGTACAAAAGAAATACAATGACTGTCTTATATCAATTAATGGTAGTGGATGATTGAACAAAAAGAAAGAAACTAGCAAAACTGAGATAACTGCTCAACACATGGCATCACATTATACCATGTAGCAAAATCTGACTCCAAACTAGAGTAGAAAGTTGTACACACAACACCAAGCGCGAATACTATGTATATTTCTTGTTTCTACAGATCCTAAGGAACGAATCTTTTAAATAAAAAATATAACAAAATTTTGTTTTCTCCGCCCCAATCAAGAGGGAAAGTAAAACTTAAAATTTCAATTACTCCTGTTGGCAAATTAGTCCAGAAATGGAGGGTGACAATGATTCTTTTAAGAAAAAGAATTAGAATGATGCAAAGTTCAGGACAGGTTAAAGTTATTATATCAAATCTAATTTTCTTTTATCATACTTTCTTAACAGTACAACAGAATATGAAGTACAGTACAGAAAGCTACCTTGTGGTCACCTCCACCAGTAGCGAACCTAAGCCCACCTGGCTGAACATCAACGGAGAAAATCTGCATTCCTTCATGTCTAACCCAAAGAGGTTTCTCTGCAATCATCTTGTCTTCTCACTCCTCAAAGAACGCAATTTCAGCTACTCTTACCATGTATCTTGAAAACCCGCCAAAAAGTGAAAGTTCATAACTTTTGAAGAAGAAAACCCTGAATTCATCAATGAACAAAGTCTCAGTTACTATGAGAAATAAAAAACAACTGGGTCTGAGCAACCAAAGCCTTACAGACTAACTCACACAAACTTAAATACAAAAACAACCAAAACCCAGAAGATATATGGTATTTATTTATCTTGCTGCCTTGTGAAACCCGGTAAAAAAAAAAAAAAGAAAAAAAAAGGGGAAATTTAGGGTCTTAAAGCAAGCAGAAGATTACCTCAAAGAAGCAAAGATTTGAGAACCCTTCGAAGTAAAGAAGCAAAGAGGCCTAACGGGAAGGTGAAGATGCAAAACAAGAAAAATAAAAAATAAAAAATAAAAAATAAAAAAAAGGTTCTGTTTTTACCCTGTTTATTAAAACCAACAACCCAACAATATGCCGGGCTATGCCAATTAAGGATCTTGGGACAAGAAAAGCCCTAAAATTTTGAGTTGAGGAACAAAAGAGGCAAAAAGTAAAACCCTGAGGAAGAGGAGATCAAAAGAATAAAACTTCCTCTTTTAACGGTCAAATATGTCTCTTCTTGGAAGTAATGAGGTGGGGGAAGTCTTGCATACCAATGGCTGCATAAGAGGTAAAAAATTTATATTGTTTTTAAATTTGAAGGAGAAGAAAGGAATCAGCGTGCGTGCAAATAAGGGCAAAATCAGTGTTTTGAAAACCGATTTAGAGGTCAAATCATTTTGAATTTTGGTTTTGATTTGGTCGGTTTAATTGGTTTAATTATGTAATTCAATCGAAAAGGAATAAATATAATATTATGTAATAATTTAACACACCTTCTATTGGTTTGTTGTCATCCTTTGTCTCTTATTATACAGAGGAGATGGAGGTTCAAATCTACCCGATATTAAAATGTAATTTTAATGCTTTTAACTT